CCTTGGCTAACGCAGGTTCTCCAGTCTTGGGTTTTAATCCTAGAGTCTGCTAGGCAAGATTGCCGCTCGCAGCAGATAACATCGCCATGAACTTTAGTAACCCTGGTAGGCTGGGGTGACAGCCTGGTGTGATTGGCTGACTTGAATGTCTGGTGAAAACCAGCAACCTGGTTCAATTAGGTGTCACAATGTGGGCTAGTTCCCTCTTGACCCGGCCTGTCTGCTTCCTCCTCTAGATGCTCTATGCCTGCTCTTGTCATTGGACTTCACTGGGAAACTGCCCTGAGTCCCTCTGAGCTGTTACTTGTGAGGGAGGGCAAAGGTTAGCCTGCAAAAGCACCTGGCATGTGTCTCTCGGCCAGGGCTTGGCTTGGGTCCATCCTGGGCAGTGTCCGCTAGCAGTCCGCCTGTGTCTGGAGGTGGAAGCTCATGAACCCTTTGATTCTGTCGCATCCCCCTTCTAGCTAGGCCTGGTGTGTCACTCTCAAATGGTCTTAACAAGTAGGAAATGTCATGTGCGTGGCCCACGTGCATTTGAACTGTTTGGAGGGTGGGGGGGCCATGTTCCGTGTGTTGATAGGACCTGATTGGGGGTTAAATTTGTGGCCCTGAGGGTCCCTTCTAATTCTATGATCCTTTGTGCCTGTTCTCCACTGAGCGTGTTGTCTGCCGATCACGCTCTGCTGTACGGATTGTTCAGTGCAGGAGCAGGTTACCTAGGGAGGTTGTGGAATCCCCGTCCTTCAGGACAGGTTGGACAAGCACCTGATCGATCCTTGGCCCTGCATCAGCGCGGGGGGGTGCGCGGGATGGACTCCTCCAGCCCAACATTTCTGTGATTTCTGATGTTTGTTTTTATGCCCTGGCCTTAAAGCAGTTTCACCTTTTAGAGGCTGAAGATAGAGATTTGAAGCTGTGGTTCCAAAGGCAACATGAAGCAGTAGGAATTTGGGGTGACTTTACCATGGAGCGGATCAATTCCTTGCTAAGTGCTATGCCGCCTCCTGGTACAAGGCGGTTCCCTCCTCAGGGAACTCACAGTCAAAGTTTGGGTTTAAAGAAAAATATGTCTCTGTTGGTTAAGGCTCTGGGAATCCAGAGTTTGGACAGTCTTCACTGATCAGTTCCCCACCTGTAAAATACTCCCCATACCCCCTTTCCTCCATCCTCTTAGACTGTGAGCACTTTGGGGTAGGGGCTACCCCTCACCTGGTCTGGAGCTCTGATTTCGGCTGGTACCTCCAGGCGCTATTGTGATCCAAGCAATGCGTTTCCCCCTAGGTTTTGAAAATTGGTACACAAATAAGATGCTCTTGTGTGAAAGCGAAATGAGCAAGTCTAGTTTCACTGGCTGAACTGAGTGAAATACAAAAGAGAAGCATGGGAACAGAAGTACCATAGCGCAGAGAGTTAGTCAGCGTGTTACGAGTGAGGCAGCTTTAAATGAGCCCTTCTCCTCGACATCTCTAGGTCTTTGCTTCTCCCTCGCCCTTTCCCAGTGCCCTCGCTCTCCTCCAGCTTCAGAAAACTGCCTTTGACATTTTAAATCCCCTCCCAACCCACCGTGGGCTCAACCCAGGGGCACAAGTGGCTGCAACCTAGTGGAGCTTTACACCAAATGGAGAAGTTTGTGGCTTAATTCTGGAGCGAGTGCACCAAGCTTTTGGAACGGCTCTGTGCAACAAGGTGGGGACAGTCCCCCTATGTGCCCGGGATGTGTTCCCCTTGGTAGAGCGCCTTGAGCCGCAGTTTCAGATCTCGGGGTCTTTGCCCTCCAAAAGAAACAATTGGGTACAGTGCAGTTGACTGTGTGAGGGAAGAGACCTGAACCTGAGTTTCTGTCTGCTTGAAATCGGGGCTTAAAGATCTTTGCAAAAGTTGAAGGGCTTTGCCCAAGAGTTTTTGCTCAAGGCTTGTTTGTTCTCCCTTTCTTCCCCGTGCTCTGTGTGGCATACTGTCCTCCACCCCAGAAGTGGCTGCATTTGAGAGGTGATGTCTGTGTACAGTTTGGGACCTTGTGAAGTGAGTGTCACTCCAGTAATGCCACTGAGGGCAGTGGAATGCAGCCACTAGGCGCTGAATGGCCCATCCTGATCCTGCTCTCAAACACCTACCCCTCCCACACACACCCCTGGAGGGCAAAGGCAGCGGTCCCCGGAGCATTTACCTGGAGGGATCCCCTCCTGAAAAGCAGCTTTAGGGACTGAGGAGAAGCATTTGTTTGGAATATACCAGTGCCCTCTGCAGCTATGCATCCCACCCTCCCCCTTTCTCCTCCCCCTGCAAAAGCATTCACACCCTGTGGTTCTTGAATACCTAAAGCATCCCCCAGAACAACAAGGAGTCTGGTGGCACCTTAAAGACTAACAGATTTATTTGGCCATAAGCACCATTCAAAGCTAGCTGCCTGGGGATTCTGTGAGGGCCCTATGGCCTCAGAGTATGGCCCCAGGGTGACCTTCGGGGCATTAGGGTGGGGAATTTGGGCTTCTGCATTGCCTGGCTTGCGGTTGTTTGCTGTCTCACTCTAACTGTTCTTCGGTTATGTTTGGGGGGATTCATTTTCTGGTGTGTTCCTTGTTAGATCGAGGGCTTCTAGCACATTTGGATGGGGAATCTATATTCGGGTGCATTCGGTGCTCACACCCAAACCCTCCTCCAAACAACTTAAACCACCCTCACTCTCGCTGAGTGAGACATGCTTCCCTCACCCCCCGGCCCACATAATTCACAAGCAACATACGTGTGTTCTCCCCGCTCGTCGGTAAAGATTGATGGCGGGATCTGGGCCTGGCGAGTTTCGCCATCAATGGCAGGTGCCAAACCTGAGTGGTGTTCTGACCCTGCGTGCCAGGTCGCAGTGCCACCCACTGCCAGCCCAGACATGAGCAGTTCTGTGGGTGCGTTTGAACCCATGTTAAAGCTGTCTATGCTATCATGTCTCAGTGCCTTGATTTCCCTCCCCCCACCCTCCGCAGGGTGCTCCAGGTAACGTAAGACCCAACACCACATAAATAATTAAAACCACTGGACATCTCAAGTGAGCAACGGGCATCTTGTAATGCCATTCTGCTCTTTTCATTTGCGTACTCATGGGTCCCATAACTTGGCACTAAATCTGCACCCCCAGCTGAACTGGCCCTTCCACCTTTACATTCCCTTTTGTGTATCCGAAAATCGGGGGAGTGGGGGTTTAAACCCGGCTTAAAAAAAACAACCCTCCAGTTCACTGGAAAGTGAAATGCAATAGAAGCTGTCCTGATGTCAGACTAGCTGTGTGAAGCAAAGCTTTCTATGTAACAGAGCCATGCTATTTCATCAGGCAGCACAAGTGCCCGTTAGACGCCCCAGCCCTGCTAGGGGATATCCCTTGAAGCAATTCTGTCACATTTAAAAGGTTATCTTCCGCCTCCTGGCCAGAGGCATCATGTGGGTGGGTGGCTCATATGGAGGTGTGCCTGATGCAAACCCACTTGAGGAATTGCTGCAGGCTTGTTTGGAGGAGGGTGCACAGACAGAGCAGCTCCGGATACCTGGCTACTCTGGAGACTTGTCTGATGAGGTAACTGCATGAGTCACCCCTTCCTGTCCCACTGCCTTCACCTGGAGGGAGGCGTGACACCAGCTCTGATTTGTCCCTCCTCTGGAGAGAAGGCAAGCAGCTCTCACCCTGGCAGGATTGGGACGGCCCCGATTTCTTTCAGCGCCACACTGAGCAATGTCTTAAAGTCGATTCCTTTTTTTTTTCTTTCCTAGGACAGAGGAATAAAAATCCCCCGGCAGCTGGGAAGAGGCCCGAGTTCCTTCATCCCCGTGGAGGAGGTAGGATACGGGGGCAAATTGATTTCTTTCTGAGGCTCCTGGGGGCAGATGTGTTCCCGACTCTCTGGGGCTGGGGCCGCGGGGGAGGCTGGGGGTCTGATTTCCAGCCCCTGTTTGCCAGGGTGGGAGAGCTATGGTGGTAGCGAACTGTCTGACTACTTAGTGTGTGGGGGAGGATCTCTGTTTGATCCACCTCGCACCCCAACCAGCTGAGCAGCATGGAAGAGGGATGGGAAGGAGTGAGTCCTTGTGGATCAGTGCCAGTGGGAATACTCGGCTGCCCCATAGATTGGAATGGGAGCCGTTGCGGGGAGGTGGTATGAGATTCCCCTTCATTCGCTTTCTGCCCACCCGTCCCACCATGGCCTGTCGCGCTCATGAGCGAGCTGCTCCAGCACGTGGGATGGCGAGAGTCGGGTACAGGTGGTGAGGAAGCAGCAAGGCACAGCCCTTGTGCGTGGCACAAGAGGGCCCCTTGTGACAGCAAACCCCGGGCAGGCCGGGAGGAAGAGGCTCTTGCTTGCCACCTGCCTGGGGATAGAGGTCTGGCTGTGTGCTCGGAGCGGAAGAGTGCTGGCCTCCATGGCCTCTGGCTCTCAGCAGGCTGCACGGGGCTTCTCCAAAAAGCTGGAGACCTGCCTAGGCTCCTGTGCCAGGGAAGAAAGATTTCTTCTCTTCCCCGCCCCCCATGTGAGGAGGCCACAGGAGGGGGGATCTTGGTCAGAAACGTCCAGGGGAAACGCCACAGTCTAGTGGCTGGGCAGGGGTCTGAGTTGTGACCCGGATTTCTCTCGTGGCCTCCCCCTGCATTCACTGCTCCTCTGAGCCTTGTGTAGAAACAGGGCTGTGTCCCTTGATCCCCAGATGGCAGGCGCAGCAAGGCGTCGCTCCAGTCAGGTGACTCTGTGCCCAGTTGGGGGGTGGGGGGCTTGTCGATATCCTCTTGGCCAGGGCTTCTCAACCTCTTTCTTTCTGAGGCCCCCCCAATATGTTCTAAAAACTCCACGGCCCAGCTGTGCCCCAACATCTGGTTTTCTGCATTTAAAAGCCAGGGCTGGTGTTAGGGGTTAGCAAGCAGAGCAGTTGCCCAGGGCCCCATTCCACAGGGCCCCCCACAAAGCTACATTGCTCAGGCTTCAGGTGGGGAGGCTCAGGGCCCCGGGCTTCAGCCCCATGTGGCGGGGCTTTGGCTTTCTGCCCTAGGCCCCAGTGAGTCTAATGCTGGCCCTGCTTGGAGGCCCCCCTGAAACCTGCTCGAGACCCCCTAGGGGCCCCCGGTTGAGAACTACTGCTGTAAGCAAAGGGGCTGCCTGGCCCCTGGGTGCGCTCACGGGCCCTTCGGAAGAGCGGGGCGCTTGCTTCCCTTGGCTCCGTGCAGCAAGACAGGGGCTTTCCGTATCACTCTGCTGTCGTCATCGCTTGATTTGTCCAGCGACCTTCACCGCACTGCTCACAAACAATGAGCTAATTGCAGCCCATCCGATTGCATCATCCGCCTTTCTAGCCCGGGGCGGGGGCCCAAGGACGGTGATTAAACAACTCCTAATCGCCCTGCTATGAGACTGAGAATTGCTCTGGTTCTGATGCCCTCTGGGCAGGTAGCCACCTCCTCCTGATTCAACACTGGCACCTCCCAGCAGACCTGTCAAGCCCTGGCTGGCCAGCAGCCGTATCGCTGTGTTCCTTCCCGGGCTGGCTGCACGGACAGTTTCTTCTACCACTGACGTCAGGGTGCGGAGCTGGGCACCCGCCACTCCTTATCAGGGCTCTCTTGTTGTTGTAACCCATTGTAACCCGGCGGGCCGTGTGCTGGGGGGTGTGGCGGGGGAGGAGACGGCATGCGGAGGGTAGCTCGAACAAACAGATCTGTTGCATCAGCTGGCGGGGCGCCAGGCCTGCTGCAGGAAACAGATCGAGCCCTTCTCGAGCTGGGTTTCTATTGGTTCCTCCCCAAAGCCCTGGGGAGCTCAGAGAGGTGGGGCAATCGCGCTGTTAACGATCGAGCGCAGCCAGTGCTGACAGCCCTAGGAAGATGAGACGGGCTCTGCAGGGCGTTCGCTGCACCAGGGACTGCAGAGAGGCGAGCTGGGCAACAGGCTTGCTCCAGGGCGCAAAGCATGGGTGCCTGAGCTCGGCAGTTCCCGGGGCCTGGCTCTGCCCTCGGCCTCGGCTGCCTTTGGCTATAATTAGTCCATGTTTGTATTGAACCTAGAAACCACAGCCCTGGACCAGGCCCTCGTTACACTAGGTGCGGTACAAACATACCAAGAGAGTCCGTGCCCCAGGGAGCTTGCAATAGAAGGGTATTAGTTCCTCCCGGCTTTATAGGGTCTTTTCCCAGCATTGCCACGGCTGACTCGGCAGGACTCTAGGCACTTAGCTTACCCTCTTGTCTAATATGGGGGTGACTGGTCCTGACTTCCTGGGGGGCTTTGTGGCCTGATGACTGTAACGTGCCTCTAGGCCTGTAGATAAAAGGAGCTGCCTGTGTAATCCCTAGCGCTCTCTAAGAGCTAAGTGGTATTACTGTGTGCAGAGCATTGTTCTCCATGCTTGTTACTGAAGAGCCCCAAAACAAAGCCATTGTTCCCTGTAGCCCAGACCTCCCGAACTCCTGCCCCTGCCGGCAGTGGGGCGGCTGGAGGGTTAGGGGGCAATCGGTGTGTTGAAATGACCCTGATGCGAGCGGTGACCTCGGGGGACGGGCCTGGATGGTTAGCTGGGAAGCTTGTGCTGTTAGCACTTGGGTCGGGGCAGTTGCCTGCCTGACCCCCATTGTGACCCACGATAAATGGGGATGGGAGCCTCCTGGGGCAGCTGCATTACACTGGAATGCGTTACCTAGGGAGGTGGTGGAGTCTCCTTCCTTGGAGGTTTTTAAGGCCCGGCTTGACAAA